TATATATATGGTATTTCTGTAATGTATTCAAATGTCTGCCCTTCTTTCCCGTTGTTACAACTTCCATTACCTCTGTTATTGTTCCGAATGCATGTCCTGTATTTAGTATGTGATTTGAATACCCGGAATTGCTATCATTATTCCTGATATCATGTATATGTTCTTTATATCTAGTGTTAAATGTTCTGCCCGTTTGCCCAATGTATTTCAAAGGGCAATCTACACATTTCATTTGGTATATGCCACTTTTATTGTATTCGATAAGATGATTACCTGGAGACTTCTCATAGAAATGACTGAAGCCAAAGCTTTCAGAACATTTATCAGTATCTACTCCCTATTCAAAAGTGAGCGTTCAAACGCAGGCATTAGACTATCCCTCTAAAGGCACTGACCAGATCAGTAATGACTTACGCTTATCCCTCCTGGGAATTAGCGGCAGACACCTACCTCCTAAAATTGCAGCGCATGCAAAACAAGGTTTTGCACACCATTGGAAATTTTCCAAGGTGCACACCAGTCCGCGACTTGCACACGGCTTTTAACTTTCCATATGTGTACAATTATATAACAAAATTGTGCAGACGTCAAGCAGAAGTCATACAAAATCATGATTATGAACATGTTCGCGGTATAGGACAAGGTGAAGCCATCCACAGAAAATATAAGAGGCTTAAACTTGGCGGTGGTCAAGCTTACGACCATTTAAATGACTAACATTTCATCGTATTATAAGATCTGTAAGTTAAGCATGATCTGCTCTGTAAAGCCTGTACTGACAGATTACTTGTGTCTAAAGCAAAAGGAAGGGTTTTCGATAACATATTATATGTGCGAAATGTACACTTGACGAAAGGTCGAATGTGTTCATAACAGACAGACCCATCTTTTCGTCAGAGAGGATGTTACATAAAGACTATTACCGCAAGAGTTCAGTTGGAAAAAAAAATTTTCTGGCCATAGGCCTCAAGGGGCCTAGACGAACTCATTGGCGGTAAGCCGCCATTCGTAAAGTAACTCTGACTCCGACTCTGCGGGAAGTTCAGTTTTCAGTTTCTAGGTGACTCTGTGTGGAGTGTCCAGGAGAGCTCAACGTAACTGAGAGACTAGTGCAGAGTGCTTACAAGAGAAGTGAATAGGAGACCTCACATCTGTGTTATATTTGCACTAATCTTGAAAGTGTTACGGTGATTTGTAGTTACAACTAGTGAACATCCAACAAACTGATTCACCAATCCAAATCGGAGTCTAAGTCACGCAAACAATTGACAATATATAGAGGTTTCCTGTCAGTGAAGGCTCGTGCAGCAGGTTATGCTCAACTTGTGACACAACTCTGAAACTGCAGTTAGCCAGTTGGACAGCCGTAGGCTCCTTGTCCAATACCACGTACATGTGGATTTACATGGTTTAGGATTACTTCTGCATGTGACCTCCATAATTTAAGGAATTTTGAAAGCCAGGTGCAATTTGCGGACTGGTGTTCACCTGTCAAGATTTCCAGTAGCGCGGAGTGCTCTGTTGTGCAGGCGCTGCAAATTCAAGAGGTAAGCGTCCATCGCATTATCCCAGGTGGGACTCGCAAGAGTTATAACTCACATACTCAGAGGTTTGTAAAGCTTAAGTTTCATATTAATACTTAAACGCCTACTTGTGAACAGAGAATTGGGTACAGCACTTTCGAAGTGGTATCTCCATGTCGTCATCTTGTCGAAAGTGACACCGAAATACACTGCATTATTTACAAAGTAATATCCCGTCCGCTTACTTATAGTACGTCAGGCCCTCTAGAAGAACACACAGATCGCCTACTGCTTTCCTTCATTAGTCTTCATGTTCCAGCACTTACACCATGAATTCCCTGCAGTGAATCCGCGCTGCAGTTTACAGAGAACAGGACGCTCCTGTTTCTCTGCTGCGTAAATATGGGTATATTCCGCGAACAGAGTAAGATTAGTTCCAGGTGCCCCAGAGATATCATTTACGAACAGATTGCACAATACTGGGGCAAGGAAGGAACCTTGGAGAACCCCAGAGATATTTTTCTTGGCGTAGAAAATTCACATTCTATCAAGACTTTAAATTTTCTGTCGGTGAGAAAACGAAGTGATTAAACATGTTTCGATCCCCTAGTATAGTGTCTCAACAGTCAACAAAAACACAGCTCCCCATAACCCAATTATTGTTGTGTGCATAACTGTTGCTAAGCTTACGTGGAGTTTACTCTTCCGTAACCCCAACGTATTTTCTGACCGGCTTTCAGCGGGAATGCCACAGTATGAATTACCCACTGCAGAATAAGAACCGAAAACCTGTTATGTGATGATGTAAATGTTTACGTTACTAAGTGATGATGAGGCACCGTCGTTCCCACAGTGGATGCAGTATATCAGAGTATTCCCCGCAGGGTTGCTCTGCAGTAGGACAGCATATTCGCTCATATAGTTTTTATGTTATCATAGGGACCTCAAGACGTGAAGCAGACGAGCAGATCAGTGAGAAGGACTTCAAGTTGCAGTCCCTCTTGTCAGAGATGTGCTCCGATTGGAAAGACAATGATAAATTTAAGAAAGAGCAGACAGGACCATCTGTGGATCATGGAAAAGAGATAGAACAAGTATGTAGAATATAAGTAGATATATGTACATTTTAATGTTTAGTTAAGAATACAAAAGAAAATCGATTCTTGGCATTTGTTTTGTGCAATTGTACTATTCAATCGCCGATCACGGTGGCCACGCGGTCTGAGCCATGAACTGTCTTCCCTCGCTGGACCGTATGGGTCGTGGGATCGAAACCCATTCAAGGAAAGGATGTCTGTGTGCGTTATTCTGTGTTTATGCTATCCTGTATGCAGGTAGCGGCCTTACGACAGGCTGATCACACACCAAAGGACGGTAGGCCACGTCATACACGAAACTTAACTGAAGCAATGAGAAGCTGTTAGCACCAAATGCAAGACGTTAGAGCATGAATGCATTACGGCGGGTAGAACAGCCAGGGGAAGGTGGCTATTCAGAACACACAAGTAAATACAACGATGATAAGTGGAACAATTTGAAAGTGAAGCAAACTTTGGTAGAATTAAAGTTATGAGAGCGGTGACAATGAAACGTTGTACTTCAGGGGAAGTGTAGCCGCGAATTCTAGTGTGATCCTTTACCCGAGCACACCGCATCATGTCCAAGGGAAAAGCACTCTCTTTTAAATTTTATAGGTAATTATGAAATTAATTCTAACAATATGATTTGGGGTACACGTGAATTCGAATGACTTTCGATAGCATCAAAGCACATGCTATGAAATTAATTCGTAGGCCTACTTAACCTGTGGACTGACCACAGCAGTGACCTGAAGTTTGCAGATCATGAACTGCACCAGGCTGAAACTCTTGCTTTCGACAGGGTTCAGAATATACAGAATTGTAGAGGATATACATTTCAGGAGCTATGTATACAGAATGTCCCAGGAGGAAAGGTCAATATCCTGGTATCATTCATTCTAAGCAAAAACAAAGTGTATATGTACATGTGTTCTATACAGAACTGTCTCCTAGATAGAGCTATTACACTGAAGAGTTGTTTGTATTTGATGTCCAATATATCTTCCCCCCCCCTCGTTGGTGTCTCCACTTTATCGTGGTGAGGGGGTTTGAGTATGCCAAGGACCCTGAGAGCTATACCTGCGGTAGTGTAGCTACTGGCAGGGCCTCCCTTGCTGGACAGGTCAAAGGGTAGGCATCAGACGAAGAGAGACACCAAAAACTGAAGCCAGAAGCAGCGTCATCAGTAGTCACTTGAAGCACAGAGCAAATGATGCTCGAGAT